GGGGGGGGGGGGGGGGTTGTGTGTTTCTACCCTTCCGCAGTCTGGTGTTGACATCGCCGCCCTTCATGAACTCATACACGAGGTAGCGGAAGGGGCCCTGCTTGGCCCGGGCAAAACCCATCAAAATGACCAAACACGGATGCCTGATCGACACACAGATGACCAACGATCAACACAGGCGCCACATGCCATACGTGGTGCGGTGTGCGCTTTGATGGGTACCTACCTGAACTTGGATAGGACTCTGACCTCCTCCTCAAAGCCGGTCTCCACAGGGTGCTGCAGCTGCTTGATGGCGCACTCGGTGCCTGGAGGCACACATGGCCATGCATTGCAATGCACCACAGATGAGATGAGTGAACCGATCCCTTGCGCGGCGGACATGTGTTGTGTGCTTCTCCTTGGCTGACTGACCCTTGAGGGTGGCCTTGTAGACCTTCCCATAGGCACCAGCGGCCAAACAATACTTGTCGTGAAAACCCTCCGTCGCCTTATCCAGCACCTGGCCAACACACACAGCAACAGCAGGCACAGGTCACTCACATACGATGCCATCGTTAACTCCCCTGCCCCACACACTGGACTGACTGACCTCAATGGGGTACTCGAGGCAGATGTCGTTGAGGCTGTTGTCGGTGGTCGGCGATCTCTCCACATTGCCCGTCCCAACGCCCATCGCCTGCTGACCCCCCTGGCCGGTCGCAGCAGGCACAAAGCCCTGGTTGTTGTGACCGTAGTGGGCAGCATTATTGGCGTTGTGGTGGTGGCTGGGGTGATAGGGGTTCTGCGATGCGCCGCCTGCGGCAGCAGCGGGGTGCCGGTGGGCGTCACGATGCATGCCCGGCTCCAAGGGAACAAACTCAGCGGTGTCTGTGTCAGTCAGAAGGGAAAGGAGTTGCCACGCTGCTCACGCGACGACATGGTTTCCTTCTCCTGGATTGCAGCTCCTCTTGTGAGCTCGCACGCGCTCTCGGCGAAACCCATCCCAATGGCGGCTGTACCATCGCAAGTTGATCAGCTCTCCGGAAGCAGTGAGCATCACCCTTACCAGCAGCAGCGGCAGGAGGAGCCTCCCGGACCGGCACCCGCTGCTGAGTCTGACCGCGGTGCTGGTGGTGATGATGCAGACATGGAGCAAGCAGGGGAGCCAGAGGGAGTAGAGGAGAGCCACCACAGTGCGACGCAAGAGCAGGAGCAGGACGAGGAGATGGAAGATGGCAGTGAGCCCGACGAGGCAGCAAATGACGGTGCCTCCCCAGCCAATGGGCCATCCTCGCCCATCGACACGGCCACCCTCTACACCATGTATGCCTGTTTGCCGCCAGTTGCATGCCACACAGCACTCGGGCAGACAGACCATTGATGGGATGGACGTCTGTCTGTCTGTCTCTCCTTTCTCTCTCTTTGTGGTCACTGGGTCTGTGTGGTGTGTGTCCAATGGCAGGTATGATTGGATCTTGCTAGTGCGTTTCCTGTCGACGTTCAAGGATGCGGTAGGGTATGACTTCACGCTGGACGAGTTGGAGCAGACGATTCAGCAGCGTGGGAGCGACCCGCGGCTGCACAAGCTGCACTCGCGCCTGCACCTGCTGATCGGCAAGAGATGGCACCCCAACCTCACCGTCGACAGGGCCATGTTCAAGCTCGTCGACGAGCGCCAGCAGGACATGCCGCACCTATTCAAGGACGGCAACCCTTTCGGAAAGGGAACATACGACACACTCCCCGTCCAACAGGTGGGTGTAGCTACATGGGATGGATGGACACAAGAGAGAGGGGGTGAACAAGGGGAGGTGGATGAATGGATGAATGGATGCTCTGTCTGTCTGTCTGTCTGTCTGCTTGTTGTCCATGCATGCAGCGTCTTCGTGGTTTGCGTTTGCTGGTCGTGGCTGCTTTGTCGCAGTCAAAGAAGATTCAAGACGTACGCAGTGCAGACACTTACATACATACATACAAGCAAGCAAGGAAGGAATGGGCGATCACATAATGTCATGCGGGTCCGTCATCAGAGCGTCCATGATGCCGTGGTGCGTGTGTGTGTGTGTGTGTGCGTGTGTGTTGTGCAGGTTGTGTCGGGCCTGGGTGGGTGTGCGTTGCGTGGGGAGGACCACCTGGGGCGAGACAGGGAGGGAAACCAATACTGGTGGGGCAGGCACACGCGACCGACACGAATCATCCACAGCACACATTGACGAGACTGCTGACTGCTGGCCGTCCCTCTGTGTGTGTCAGGTTTTTGCGTGACACGAGGAGTCTGTCCGGCTTTCGTTTGGTGAAGGAGAGCCGTTCGAGTGGCGAGTTTGAGCTCATTACGGGGGACCCCGAGGTGCTCCAGGCACTCGCAATCACCATGCAGACGGTCCGGTCCGCACACGACAGAATCAATGGATGGATGGATGGATGGAAGACCAGCGCTGCATTCATGGTGTGTGTGTGTTTGTGTGTGTCAGGATGGTGGCAGTGAGGAGTTGGGTCGCATTCTTGCAGAGTGCTACCAGCAGAGTATCAGGAACCAACAGGTGTGTACAACGAAACCCAAATTCCTGCCTGCGTCACGCACGAGCAGCACCGACCGGCTTGTTTGTGTCCCTTCCGCCATTGATTGGCTCGTCAGGCTGAGAAGCGAAGACAGCGTCAGCTTGCCAAGGTCAGCTCAGCACCCGCACACGCCGTCACGGCATCCACCTCGCACTAGCGGGCTCTCTATTGCTCATGCTTATGTGTGTGTGCGTGTGTGTATGTGTGTATTGTTCAGATTCGTCAGCATCACGACATCACGGAGGGCTGGGTGTCCAGCCGCACCAGGAGGAGACCCCAGTCATATAACTACAGGAGATACGACGACATGGTCAGTCACCAAGGACACCACGCCCACACACACACACACGATGCTAATACACACATCCCACGCTGTCTGTGTGTCTGTGTGTGTGCTGCCTGCAGGTGCGTCGTGGCGATGAGAGTGGCAGCCAGGAATCGGAGGAGGAGGCGCCCAACACCGTCGAGAGCAGGCAGCAGCAGACCAGGGAGGAGCGGGCGGCTGCCAGAGAGAAAAGAAAGGTACGCACCTACCTGTGCTGTGCACATGATGTGGGTGGCGGGCGCAAACACACCCAGTCACGTCACTGTATGCCCCACCTGTCTGTCTGTCTGTCTGTGTGGTGCATCCATCTATCCCTCTACCCATCCTGGCAGGCCGAGATGCTTCTTCGCGTCAAGAGCGCCCCTCCTGAGTCCCACAAGAGACCCTCACTGTCACAAGAGCAGCCCAGTGCTGTCGTCAAGCATGAGCAGGACGAGGAAGAGGAAGAGGAAGAGGGAGAGGACCGGACCAGGGGGTTTGGCCGCAAGGCCACCCGCAGCCCCCAGCCGCCGTCTCTGCGTGCTGCTCCCGCTGGCCGGCCCCGCAAGGTCCTCTATTCCGATTACAGGGCTGACTCACCCGTGTTGTACGAGCGTCAGCCTTCATCGAACCCCTACGTTTCTCGATCGGGTCGGCAGGTCAAGAAGCGCCCCTTTGGTGACGAAAACTGGGAAGAGGACCAGCAGGGGTCGAGGCAGAGGAGGGCGGCGGAGCGGCAGCGGCACGACGCGTTCCCCAGGATGATGAGCACCCCCACCCCGCCGCCCAGCGCCCGCATGACGCTTCGGAGGACCCCTGCTGAGCGGCCGCCAGCTGGTGTGGCCCAGGGCCACCATTCGCTCATGCTGGATGCCATGAAGATGAAAGAGCGGCGCAACGAGGGGAGGAGACGCAGAGGCAGAGACGGCAATCATGACGGTGACGACGAGGATGACGACGATGATTATTATTATGATGTGGACGAGGGCGAGGATGAGGCCGACGAGGAGGAGGAGGATGACCGCCAGCCGTCGAAAAGGCACCGGCAGGCTCCTAGGGGTGGCGGCCAGAGGGACAGGCCTGGGCTGATGCACCCCATGATGGTGCTGCACCAGCATGCGCGTCAGGCGGCCAGATCGCCGTCCAATGTGGCCTACCAGAGCGCGCAGGCCATGCACATGATGCCGCTCCAGGTCCAGGTCGGTCACCACAAACACACAGTACCGGCCGACCATGACATGCGCATATTTGTGCGCTATGAATATGTCTGCTGGTGTGTGTGGTTGTTGTAGGCTATGATGCGTGCCGCTCCGTTTCTGTCTCCCCGCCGCCCTGGGTACTACCTCACCCCCTGGGGCCCCATCAGCGCCGACCGACCCAACGTCCCCCCGTCAGCCCCCAAGCACCCTGCATTCGGCGCGCGGCCGAGCATGATGATGCCGGTGCAGGGCTCCCAGTCCCCACGCAACCCTGCCACAGTGCCGAGCAGCAGCAGTGCAGGTGCGTCAGGTGGCCAGGCCCCCCGTGAACGGACTGTTGGTCCCCTCCCCCCTCCGTTCCCCTCCCTGGCGTCCGCACCCCCTGTCACCCCATGGATGGCCGCCATGCTCATGCACCAAGCCGCCACCAGGACACCAACACACAACAACCGTGAGCAACCAGCCAAGCAACACTTTGACACATTCAGGGGGCGCGGGGTGGCATGGCCACCGTGCATCGTCCCTTGTACGAGTGGGTGTGTGGTGTATGGAATGGCTGTCAGGTGTGTCGATGTCGGGAGCCTCTCGGTCGCCCATGGCTGTTGCACATCCCCCCCGTCCCGCGGATGGGCCGCCACCCGCTGCTCCTCTTCCAAGTCAGGAGACCATGGACCAGGCCGAGTCCAGCGGGGCTGCTGCTGCGAGTGGTGGTGGTGCGAATGGTGATGGCGGTGATGGTGTTGCAGATATGGCGCGCAAGATGATGGAGGATATGTGAGCCGGAGGAATGGATGGATGCGTTGGTGCAGGCGTGCGTAAGATCAATCTTGACGGAGAAACAGTGCCGGTTCTGCCCTGGCTGTCGGGGCTCGACACTGTACGGCGAGACAGTCGTGCTGCAGCCTGCCTGTCTCTCCGTTTAGTGTAGTTACCCCACAGGCGGGGCAGAACCGGCCGCTGGGCGGGTAGCTAGATGCAGCTGGCGGCAGACAGGTTGCAGTGTTGACAGGGGGTAGAAAACATACAGCATACATACCTGTGTCGGGTGGGTGGACCGACTGAAAGTGTCTTTCTGCCTGGAGTGCCTCTCACGGGGGTTGTACACACCGATGCACATCGCTACTATTTGAGGGAAAAATGACACTTGAGACATCACACACATGCATACACACACACATGCGTATCGTCATCCCATCCCATCCCATCCTCCAATCCACATACATACCTACATCCATCCACGCATACCTAGGGAGATCCACGATGCCTGCCTGCCTGCCTGCCTCTCTGTTGGTTAGCTAGAAGGAGCTCATTTTGTGCAGTGCGTTAGTCGTGACCGTCACATCGAAGTCGGGGACGGCGGCAGCGACGATGTCCTCATCTTCAGCCGCCGAAAACTCCTGCAGTGCCACCGACACCAAATGCTCATCCGCTGCATACCAAATGCAACAGATCATTGGATGAGGCGATCAGTACACACACACACACACACACACGCGATGGAAAGACATGAGAGAGTTTCGGTTGTATGTGTGTGGTGGCGAGGTGGCGTGTGTCTTACGTTTGGTGGCGAGGCTGGTCCTTGAGAAGGATATGAGAGGCTGCTCGAGGCCCGACGGCACGTGACCACCCTCTGTCAGCTCATCCTCCTGAAGAACAAAACCACACACATAGATCCGATCCGAGTGCACACACTTGATACGGAAAAGTGGGAGACACAATACTTGCCAGAGGCCTTGGCAGCTTACGAATGCGTGTATTTGCTCCAGCCACCTCCATTCGTTCTTCTCGCTGATGGCCGCCTCGCCCCTTTGCTGCTGCTGCTGCTGCTGCTGGGGCACATCCACGGGGACGATCGACGGCTGCTCCAACACCCACACAACGATCTGATACACAACATTCACAGCAGGGAGTGTGTCGGTCGGTCAGTCAGTCAGTCAGGAATGGAGGCATGCCTGCCTCTGACTGACCTGTTTGGTTGTAGCGGCGCAGACCCACAGCTTGGGTTCACCAGCCTGTGTGTCGCTGACGTCACTGGCGCGGCGGAGATGCAGGTGCGACTCTGGCTGGCCCTCCTCAAACATGTGAACCCCCACACAGGGGTGGCCCAGCAGACACCCACCCAGCAGCTTCCACGGACCCTTTATGTGGTGGCCTCGCTGCAGAAACCTGTCCAGCACAGAGAGGGAGGGACGGGCATTCATAGACACACAAGACAGTGGGTGTGGCGTATATGGGTACGGTACCCCACCCTGGTGTGTGTTTGCCTGTGTAGTGTATGTACCTGACTTGTGGGAGGTGTGTGCCGCATGCAATGATGGTGTCTCCCTTGGAGTTGATGCAAGCTGCAAACACACAGCGGGACACACACAGACCACGGTGGCCGTCTGTCACCGTGTGTGTGTGGGCCTGGCTGACCAGCATGTAGGTGGCAGAGTGACTCTGACATTCGGAGGCCGCCTGGGGCCGTGTGGTGGTGCTGGGTCTTGCGTGGCACGTGGCCGTCCAGATTTACCGTCTCCACCAACCTGACACATGCCCACACGCACACGCGTGGATCCATGTGTACTGAAGACAGTCAGGACTGACTGATCAATACTGACTGACTCGAGTGTCTGGAAATCCCACAGCTGCAGCTGGTCGTGGTCCCTGAAGAGGACAAACCAGAGACACCAACGGCGGCAAGCAGAGACACATGCAGCGGCAATGAATGCGCGTGTCTCCAGCCATGGATTCTGTCGTCGTTGTCCCTCGCTTGTCTTGCCTGTAGGATGCGCTGAGTATCTGGCATGACTTGTGCGGCTCCAGCTCCCGTGTGGGTGTGTGTGACGACGGGTGGGAGGCAGGGGTGTGGGACTTGGACGGCGTGTGCGACTTGGAGCCTTGACGAGACACGATCACCGGCGCGAAGGCCACGTCAGCTGCCTGGGCCGTCAAGGGCCGCACCCTGTCCAGCACGCGCACTGAATGCTCCTGACGGCAATCCCACACCTGCACACACATACATACGCGAATGAATGCACAGGTGAATGAATGTCTCCGTGCGTTTGCTTATTGATGCTAGCCGAGGGAGGGATGCTGGCTACTCTTGGAAAGGGTGTGGTGTGTACCTGACCTGAATGGTGTCGTCACATCCCGCCGTGACGAACATCTCGGGGTCAGTAGGATGAAACCGCAAAGCGACTATGCGATTCCTGACATACAATACATACACACATACACACATACGAAGCATCGGAGGTATGCAACTAATGTATGTATGCACCACACCTTATCTATCTTTCTCTTTATTGTGGATGTCACCCACTTACGAGTGTGCCGTGTCTGTCGAGTACGAGTCGGTCCAGAACCCCTGTGAGAGCCGGTGCAGGACCTTCTTAGTCAGGTCATCGTACACCATGATCTCACGCTTGGCGCCAGCACCTGAAACGAAACACCACCGATGGATAGACAGACGACGTCACGTCAACCCATCGATACATACATATCCATATGGTATGTGGCAGCTTACTTACAGGCGAATTTGTGTCCGCTGCAGTCATAGTCGCAGCACAGGAGGGCGTCTGGTTCTTCGTCGACATGGTTGAAGGGCCGGGCCCTCCAGGTCACCTTGCCACTGGGCGGATGGCACGTCACCACCTCACCACCTGCACACCCCACACACAGAGAAGAGACAGCACTTGTATGTGGGCGAGAGGGGGTCTGTCGAGCACCGGCCACCTGCGAGGGTGGCGAGTATGACGTTCTCTGGCTGCCGGCTGGCTGGTCGCCACTTGATATCCGTCACTTGCTGCACAATCGATTGCACGTGAAAGATTGTACCCCTTCGGGTGGCTTGTCCCCTGTCCCCCCCTGTGCGTACCTACCGTGTTGCCGAGCTGTAGGCGGTAGACCTCGGTGCCTCTCTTGAGCAACAACACATGAAGCACTGTATACACACACCGATGCATGGGTAATGAACCGCCGCTCACAGACAGCTTCTGAGTGTCTGCCGGGCCCACGTACTGCCGGCTGATGTCCCTGCGGCGACGAAGGAGCCCTGGCATCGAATGCACGAGTACTGAGGGGCTGTGCCACTCCTGCAAACACCCGTGGCACGCACCGACGTCAGTCAACCACCAGAGACGAAACACAAGACAGGATGATGCATCGGTGTTTGCTGGTGAGCGGGCAGCTCACTTTGATTCCAGCTGGACGGACCACAACTGCGAGGCCTTCATCTTTTCCCCCTCCTGATGCGAGCTCGCTTGGGCCCCAAGGTGGAGACGCAACTTTTCCCTTAAGAACGAAAAACGAAAAGGAGAGCGTTGCTGCTGCGCGTCTGTCTCGATCCCATGTTGTCTGGACCGCCCCCACCCCACTCACATCAGTAGGTATCGCCATGTGTGAACAGCACGCGGCACATACACACCAGGCAATGCAATCTATACACGCAGCCGCACAGCACACAAAGTGCGCACCTATACAACACACACACACCGATGCACAAACACAGTCTTCAGCCAGCCAGCCACTCAATCAGCCAGCCCTTCAGTCGCTCCGCCGGCCAGTCGCCCATCCATTTGTCGCTCGCAGGCGACCAAAATCGCATCAGTAAGAAGGGCAAGGCAGGCTTGCCTGCACTCCCCATCCACTCACTCACTCTCACTCATAGCACAGAGTATTGCAATGCACAGACAGACACGGAGAGAGCGCTAGTTTCTCTCTCGTCATGCATTCAAACGGCCGCTGAAAATCGTGTCGTTCCCGAGGCGAAAAATGTGGCTTCGCTGCAGCATGTGAGACGCGCCCGTCTCGCTGCCGTGCCCGCCGCCCATCGACGACAGGGGGGCCCGCAACCGCACACCATTTATCACCTGCAGGCCAGAAAGACAGCCAGACAGTGCAGGAAGGTCAAGATGTCAAGCTTGGTGTATGTATGGCTTACGATTTGGGGAGAGACGGTGACGATGCAGTGGTGAGCAAGCGATGCTGCCACCATGCTCGAAATGATCGAACCACCACCTATATCCAACGCCATACATACCGCACCGCATATCAAGAAGGATGAATAACTAACTGAGTCAGTCGCCCTTCCCTCCCTTCAACAACGAGCCGATCCGATCCGATCCTTTCGTTCGTACGTACCTTCGACCATGACACTTGTGATGCCAGCACGCCCGAGTTGCCTGAGGCCGTCAGCCAAGTCAACACGGCCGCCTTCATCGCTGGCACACACAACGACCTCCGAGCCTGCCGCCTCCAGCGCCTGACGCCGACGCATCTTGTCATCGGACGCACCCCCCTCAAAGCCCAGCCCCGCCTTGGTGGTCAGAATGATGGGCGGTTGGCCAGACGGCTTCTCGTGCAGTAGAGCGGTGGACTGCGTGGCGTCGGCCAGGCGGAGGGACGAGTCGACAATGACGGGCCGGGGGTGTGAGGGCTCGTCGCTGCCCGTCAGGTGCCGGCACCACCAATGGAAGGGGGACGTCACCGCTAGGCGAGTCGTCAGCCGGGGGTCGTCACTCAACTGCATGGCATGCATCACACAACACAACATACCACAGACAGAAACCACACAACCTCGTTCGTACATACAAACTTCGCCTTGGCATATCTGTCTCTCCCTCTACTGACTGACTGACTGACCACAGTGCCGACTCCCACGAGTATGGCGTCGTGGATGCCCCGAAGAGAGTGGGTCATCTGGTGGGCCAGCGGACCACTCAGACCCAGCGGCATCGCAACACCACCCGCACCCCACACACCAATGCTCCCACACACGCTCTGCGCATACGTCAGCAAACAAAAGGGCAGCTTAACCGCTGCCGCCGTCTGGCCATCTCGAGGTTGGTCAGCCGCGGCCCGCAGCACCTCTCGCTGCCTGGTCGTCAGTTGCTGCAGCATCCGGAAGGCGTCCTTGAGCTGCCGCCGCTCCCTCCCATTGAAGCGACGCACCAACCTGGGGTGGGATGGGCGAACTGCTGCTGCAGGGGCGGCCGCACTGTCGGAAGACTGCTGGTGGGTGTGGTGCTCGTGGTGGCTGCAGGTCCCATCATGCGTGTGGTGGTCGTGGTGGTGGTGGTGGTGGTGGTTGGGCAGCAGGTGTCCCATGCGGCGCATCTTGGTGTCAAGGTAGCCCTTGTTGACAGCATTAGGGGGGATCACTATCGGAACGCGGCCGCGCACATCAACACCCGTCTCACGAATCTTCTCTGCACATTCATTGCATGCAGACATTGACACACGCGGAGCACACGACAAGACACCCATGCATCAAGTCAGTCAGCAGGATATGATGCCTTCCTTCGTTCCCGGCTCGTGGCTAACGTACGTATTTTGTATGGGTTGTTGGTGACGAGGCGTACGGACTGAACTTGCAAGTCTCTGAGTATGGGGGCGACGCACTCGTATCGCCTGGCCTCGGCGGGCAGTCCCAGGTGCAGGTTGGCGTCGACTGTGTCGAAGCCCTGCTCCTGCAAGCCGTAGGCAGCTATCTTGCGCGCTAAACCGATGCCGCGACCCTCCTGCTGGAGGTAGATGACCACACCCTGACCGATGCCCTCCTTGAAGTACTGAAGGGACCGGTGCAGCTGGGCCCGACAATCACACTTCAGGCTGCCCAAGACCTGCACACACAGACAGACAGACAGTCGGCTGGTGTGGTGTTGCAGTCTCATGTATGCAATGCATGTGTGTGTGTGTGTGTGTGGGTGTGTGTCTGTACCTCGCTGGTCCAACATTCGTCGTGGACTCGTAGGGGAACCTCGTGAAGCTGCTCGCCAGTCTCTTTCAAGCCGTCCACATCCACGCCGACTACGATGGCGATTGCCTCCTTGGTCATCCGCACATCAGTCCGACCGCTGTCGGCATCCACACACGACATCTCATACTCATACGCACGCAACAACATGTCACCTGCAGCCCAGCCAACGCAAGGCAACACACACACACACACACACACACACACACAGAGTGAATGTAATTAATGTCCATCCATCAACCCTTACGTCTTCTCCCTGCCCTTGCCCTGCTCCAGCTGACCGTGTTCGGTGGGCAGGTTTGTGCTGCCGATGAAGGTGACTTTAGCCTCATCAGCGGAGCTGGCGAGTGCCCGCCACTTGGTGGACCACTCGAGGCCGTGATGGGATGGGCTCACTCTGTAGGACCCTGGTACGGCCGAAGAGCTTTGCCCGAACACGACGCTGCCGCTCCTGCTGCGCACCCCCAGGCTGTCGGGGGCTGTGCCGCTGTCGCCGACGAGTCGAACGGGTTGGTGTGAGTTTGCTGCATGTTCCTCTTCGAGTTCGTACACCTCCACTCTGGTGGCAGCTGCGGCACTATCGGCGGCAATCGACACCACTGTATGTGTACATGTCGACCGGGTGGCATACACCTGGCCAGCGGCGACAAAGCCCCTCTTGCTGCGAAACATCGTTGGGTGGGAGGCGAGAGCTGCCTTAACATCTCCGTGAAACCGCTCTGTCCTTTAACACTTCGTGAAACCGCTCTCTGTAGCTGTGAAGTGTCCTTTCTCCCTTGCAAAGGAGGAGGGAGGCACCGCACTTTGCTGAAGGCTGCATCGATTTGAGCCTAGCGCTGCCCAAAGTCGACGAAATCTGCCAGATCTCAGTCAGTTTGCAAACGCCTTGCAGGCAGCTGTGCAAGATGGGCAGGGCGGTTGGCGTAGCGATGGTGTCTGACTTCTTCTACCCATCCAAGGTAAGTCATTTCATCTCACTAATGAATTCACTCATTCCCATTGATCTGATCTGTCTGCGGACTTGTGTGCCTCCCTCTATCTTCATCGGCAGGGCGGTGTAGAGATGCACGTCTACCAGCTGTCGCAGTGCCTGATGAAGCGCGGCTTCAGAGTGATAGTCATCACCCACGCTCGCGGCCCCTACCGAGGTGTGCAGTGGATGCCCAACGGCCTCAAGGTCTACTACCTCCACTACAGGGACGTGGTCGACAACGTCATACTGCCTACCGTCTTCATGACCCTCCCCGCAGTCAGACACATACTGCTTCGCGAACATATCGACATTGTCCACAGCCACCAGGCAACCCAACCACAGCACGGCACATGACACCAACACAGAGACTCAGACAGACAGACAGACAGACAGACAGGGATGGAATGGCGGGTCGGGTATGTGCCACGCATATACGGTGATGGATGGATGGATGTGTGTGTGTATTGGTTCCTTCCTTGCTTCACCCCGCCCCACCCCACCCCCACAGGCAACGTCTCCGTTGGGGCACGAGTGTCTGATCCACGCGCGTACCCTGTCGATGTACAACCGGTACAGCCACGATACACTCGGCGATGGCGGCAGTGAGCCCCACGAGTACCGCATTGTCTACACAGACCACTCCCTCTTCGGTTTCGCTGATGTCGCCGGCATTCACATCAACAAAGTCAGGGGCAGGGTCAGGGTCAGGGTCAGGGAGGGAGGAGTGGGCGGCACACAGACAGACACCACACTATCCATACCGTCCTGTCGGGTATGGTGCTCGCTGCTGGTGTGTATGTTAGGTGATATCTCTGTTGCTAAGTGACGTGGATCACGCCATCTGCGTGTCGCACACCAACAGGGAGAACCTCACTCTCCGCTCGGGCATCCCACCACGCAGGATCGCCGTCATACCAAACGCCGTGGTGAGTCGGTGGGCTGTAAATGGGGGAGGGGCAGCCCTCGTGTGTGATATGGCTCGTGTCAGGACGCCCATCGTTTTTCGCCGGATCCGTCGATGCGTCCCCCGCCCCCACGGGTGAACATAGTGGTCATCAGCCGACTCACATACAGAAAGGTAACATAACAACAAAAGTCAGACAGACAGACAGACAGACAGACATACAGACAGACAGACAGGCAGGCAGGGAGGCAGGCAGGCTAGATACTGGGCTGCCGCACACTGACTCGTGGACCCACCCACCCACCTGATTCTACGCGTCTGTCTGTGTGTGTGTGTGTCTAAGTAGGGCATCGATTTGCTGGTGGATGTGATTCCGGCCATCTGCGAGCAGTTCCCCAACGTGCACTTCATTATCGGTGGGTGGTGTGGTGATATCAAATCAGCACACCACACCACACCACACCAAACCACCAAATGCAGGCAGTGAATGGATGAATGCAATGCAGCTGTGCTGTGTGTGCGCACGGCTGGTTCTCTGTGCTGTTGTGTGGTGTGCAGGTGGTGACGGCGGGAAGCGCACCATATTGGAGGAGATGCGGGAGGAACACCGACTCATCGACAGAGTCGAAATGCTCGGTAGACAGACAGACAGACAGACAGACAGAGGGGGGTAATTGGTCGCCTGCTATCCTATTTGGTTGCTGCTGCTGTGTGTGTGTGTGTGCGTGTGACGTCATCCACATTCCCGTCTAAACGTACGTGCAGGTGCAGTGCCCCATTCCCAGGTGCGTGACATTCTTCGTCGGGGTCACATATTCCTCAACTCGTCCCTCACAGAGGCATTCTGCATCGCTATCATAGGTCTGGGAACCCGGTGTCCGGCCGGCCGGCCGGCCGGCAGCCAGACAGAGAGCCAGCCACCAGCCCCGACCGGCGGTGCCATCCATTATGATGTGTGCATGTGCGTGTCTGTCGTCTGTCTGTGTCTGTGTTGTCTGTAGAGGCTGCTGCGTGTGGTCTGTTGGTCGTGTCTACCAGAGTGGGAGGCGTCCCCGAGGTAGGTGGTGGTGGTGAACCACCGGCCGGATAGATGGCAGACAGGATGTCTGTCCGTCCGTCGGTCCAACCAACACTGACCCCGTCTGTCTCCCTCGGTGTGTGCAGGTGTTGCCTGAGGACATGATGCGTTTGGCTGAGCCGAATGCCGCCAGCATTGTGGGTGTGCTAGGGGAGGCCATCCACCGCGCACCCAACATCGACGCATTCGAACACAACAGACAGGTAGGGACATACCAAGCTGGCTGGCTGGCTGGGTACCTAGGTAGCAGACTCACAGCGCAGCAAATAGAGCCTGGCTGCGCATCACGTGATGCGGTCTGTCTCTCGTCAGATCCTGGGCATGTACTGCTGGCACGACATCGCCGAAAGAACAGTCAGTGTGTAATGTACCTACGTATACATACGACCACAGCACAGCACGGCACGGCACGGCACGGCCCACGTGTGTGTGATTACATACACACATAGATGAAATAAATGAGTGCCTCGTGTGTGTCGCTTTTCGCTGGCTGCGCTGCGGGTCTTGGCTGTGGTGTGGTGTGGTGTGGGTGCAGGAGGCGGTGTACCGTCGTGTGCTGGGCCGGCGGCCACGCAGTTTCGCCTCGCGTGTCAGACTGTACAAATCGCTCGGCGCATACTCAGGTAAGTGCCTAAGGGCATACATACATACTTGCACCCAGCCAGCCCAGCCAGACCATGTATGTATCAACCTCCCTCGCTTGGTTCCGTGTATGTCTGCAGGCACCTTGGTTGTGTTTCTGCTTTTGGTCAATTACTTGCTGCTCAACGTGCTGGAGTGGTGCCGGCCCAGGCGGAAATGATATCTATCGACAGACAGCCAGCATCCGACCCGTTGCTTCCTTCCCTGCTGCCTTAATTGCCTGGACCAGTGTGGACCGGACGACCTGTGTACTTAGTGTACATACATACATACATACGTACATACATATCCACGTGGATCGGATGAGTCACCGGTGGTATGTACATATGCCGACAGCCCAGCCAACTCAATTCATTCATGGATCCAGACATACATACATTACATACATGAGTATATCATATGCACATGCTGGACAAGCAAGTGTCCGAGCGTATGTAAGTGATGGTTGGTGGATACATGCATTCATTCATTGATTGGTTCATAACTTACTCATTCCATGAAGTTGTCTTGGTGTTCGCCCTCGAGGTTCGAGGGGCTGGAGCTGTAGTCCAACCGGAACGCCGTGCTCATCTTGTCGGACTGACACTCTACCAACTTCAAATTCGCACCTGCAGGCCAGCCACGACACACATGAGGGAGGGAGGGAGAGAGGGAGGGAGGACACAGTACAGTACACGCACACTCGCCCGCCCCACCAGAGGGAAAACTCCAGTCAGCATACCTTTCTGAAGTTCCAGAGCGGATCACGAAATGACAAGAGACATCATCGACATACACACAAACAGGTCGCGGAAACGGGTGCACATCCATCCATTCGCAGACAGAGTGTGCCTAGCTCGTTGTCCTGGCTGATTGGTGGGCTGGTTGCTGACCAGGTCGCTGCCCGATGCGTTCTCGATAGGAGAAAGACAAAACCACGTGCTGCCTGCACCCATCCATCCATCCATCCATCCATGGAGCAATCCAATCCATCCCGCCCGCTCGTTCTCCCATTTGCATGCCCACCGATCAGCAGCGTCTTTGAGTCTGGTTGCGAGTGTGTGCCGGTCCGGGGAATGGCCGTACCAGAAACCCCACACCTGCACACACGCATGACGCATGACGGATGGATGGGACACAGATGGCCCGCCCGGGCCACGTCGTGTCTCGATGAAACCGATACATATATAATGCAAAGGTACATACATACCTGGTTGAATCTCCTGAATACATGCATCCATGCCCCATGTCGGCCGGACAGCCAAGCCAACAAAAGGGTGATTTTCGTGTGTGTCTCGCCATTTGTCATTGTGTATGTCATTGTGTGAGTTCGCTTACACTTCCTTGAATGGTGCTGGTGGTTCGTTGAGGAGCCAGGTGGGGTTAGAGGTGGTCTCGTCCTGGGTGTTGCACGGCATGACCCTCATGCTGCATGACTCCTGACCCCTACACACGTGTACACAGCCAACAAATCAACAAACAACCCAGACAAGAGACAGATAAAGACACCGTCCGTCGAGAGTGCCAAGACGGTGTGGGGTGGCGCGTGTGGCGCTCTTGTTGTCTGTGTGTGCCTGCATCTGGCGGCGTCGATGCAAGTATTGGCTTCGGGGGCCGGGGGGCTCTCGTCGCTCTCAGACACCTTGCTCAACGAATACGATAGACACTTGTTCATCTCTGGTCGCACGCACAAGCAGGGTGAATAAATCACTCAACCGTGTGCGCGTGTGTGTCGCCCACCATGGCATAGATGGGGTGTGTATGTGTGTGTGTGTGTGTGAGTGTGTGAGTGTAGAGTACTGACTGTCGAGAGTTTCGACTCTTCTGAGCTGTCCCAGGTTGGGCATCCAAGCGAAGGTCTGCGACAGCTGACCCGACTGACACGGCTCCAACACCGCATCCTACATAGACGCCACGCCAAGCCACGCAAACAGCCAAGTTGGCCCCCTCATGAGTTGCAAGGAGGGCGTCATAAAATGTGTCGTCGGTTTCCCACCGACCCACCGCGGCGTCTCTGCCATTTTGGTCGCTGCGATTGTCCGTCACACACCATTTGCGGCCGCCAAAAGTAAGGGCCACACGAACCACTAGGTGCATCCATCCGGCCAGCCAGCCATCACACACACATGCCATCCCATCCAGACCAAAGACGTGTTCCTGTCGGTATATACGTATGGTGGAGGAGAGGAAGTCTGCGTTGTAGGTGTCAGGTCGTATGAATGGCGTGGGGTCGGCAGCCAACAGGTAGCTCCCACTCGTACCCTTGACATACGAAAAGTGACCTGATAATAATGAGATGATGAGATAGATGAATGAACCCTTGACAGACCATTTATTCTATCAACCAACCACACAGCCACAACACAACCACCCAGGCAGCCAGCCAGCCAGCCGCGCACAAGAGAGACATGGTGTATATGTGATACGTATGTACGTATGCATGTGCTGTGTCTTTGCCTGCCTGCCTGCCTGTCTGCCCCAGCCCCCGTCCGTCGAGCGGCTCACCGACCGGGTGCGAGTTGCACTCTGTTGCTGTCGAAGTGCTGCTCCGAATCCCACACCTTCTCGGCGGGGTCATACAACCACTGCACACACCAGACAGTCAGGCAGGCAAGCAGGGAGGGAGGGAGAGAGGGAGATAATCAGGCATGCATGGCATGGCATGCATGACAGGCACATACATACATACGGCGACCCGACCAGCCACCCCACCCGTTTGTTTACTTACCTTTGAGAGGCCAGTGAGGTCATTGGATATCTCTGCAGCCGGCCAGGCAGGACACACATGAAGCGAAGCGATGCATTGAGGATGAAACGATTCGTTCTTGTCGCCCTGGCTGCGGTGTGTGTGGTGTAGGTACTTTGTTCGTTGCCGGCATCATTTTCTGAAGCGACTCTGGTGACAGCGACTTTGGTGATGTTGATGCCGCTGCCGTCGACGATTGTCTGGCTGCCCTTAGACAGCTGCTTGGCAGCCACCTCCAGCCGAAAGGGCTTTGACTGAGAGGCCAGCTGCTTCAATTGCGCCCCGGTGTTCTGCGTCGTCTCAAATCCTACCGTGCATCCTGGACTCACAGTATACATACGCCACACACGTGAAGTGTACATATAACTATCTAGTAGACCTTGTACGTACAAGGTGTGATTGATGCGAATGAATGTTGTGAGGGTGTTTGTATGCACAGTTCACGTGTGTGTATCAGGCTGCCTGCCTCAAGTAAGTGGTTTGGGTGCTGGCTGACCAGGGTATACGGTGAGAGTGATGGTTGATTTGAAGCAGAGGGGCGGCAGGTCAGCGCAGTTCTGGTCCTCATCCTGTTCGGGGTTCTTGCTGCCCGGCACCCAGATACCCGGACCAAACTCATACACACTCGAGTCGCTCCGAACCTCAACTAGTCACACACACACATATATACAGCAGTGCATGCAGACACTTCACAGTCAGTCAGCCCCCATTCAATGGGGTGTGGTGTGTGGCTGTGTGTCTCCCTCCCTTAGCGTACGTACGTACCGCAGTGTGGGAGTGCGACCTTAGGTCCGCCGACTGAGTCCTTGACTGGTACGCCCCTCTGGCCGCAGTCGAATGGCGGGCTGCCCTTTGGCTCGGCCTCAAGGGGGATCTTGAGCACCTTGGTCAACAACCCTGGTTGGCACTCGGGCGTGCTGGCATGTCAGAACCCGGTATCTGAATCGCTGATGGCAAAGCAAGCCACACAGACAGGTACAAACAATACATACAGCGAGGAAGGAATGAAGGAAGACTCAGTGACGACGGCAATGTATGATGACAGTGCAGTGAGGCAGTGCTCCTCGAGTGACTGCATTCCCTGAGGTAGGTAGGTATCTGGCCCACAGACTTCAAAAGCGTTGTCTTTGACGTTCATTCTCTGGTAGTCGGTGACGAGGTCCTGCGGCTCGTCGTCTCCCCTCATGCGATGATAGTGACCGCTGTGCAGCCGAACCAAACGCCCCTGGCTGCTGGTGCCACTCGCAAGGGCCACCTGCCCATACGATGACACGTCCACCTCAATCGCCGCACTGAGGCTCACAACGGACCATGCGATGTAGGCCAACGACACGCAAGAGAACATGGCGGACGTAGGGGAGGGGGCGGAGGGAATAGGGCCCCGAATTGTTGTAAACTTTGACGCACTCATGACCTGGGCCACGTGGTGCCCCTCATATATTCATTGATTGCATAGCAGGAAGGTGCCTGCAGTCATCTCACTCCAAGTTCTCTTTTTCCCCCGTCTCCCCGCCGCCGCCGAGATCTGGATGCACGACTGAATGGGGTGGCCAGCCCCAACCCGACCCCGCCGCACCACCACTTGGTACAGCGGCTCCTCGTGAATGCGGGGCGATCCAGTGCTGACGTCACCACTAGGAGACGCAGCAGGGCTGGTGCTGGGTGGGACAGCCGCTGCTGCAACGGGCGCTCCTGAAGCTTGCGGTGTGGTGTCGGGTGTCTCTTGAACTACCGCGGCATCTGGCAACCAGCACAATGCCATCAATCACTGCAGGAATGAATGTTTGTGGGGATGGATGGATGGCGTGACAGATAAGCAACTCACGTGGTGTAGGCTCGGCTGCTGCGTGTGGCTCGGCGTACTGATCCAGCTGCACGTGCGCATCGTCAACGTCCTTGAGAGCCCCCTGCAGTGAATGAAGTGTCGCAGGCAAGGGCACAGCCAGGGAAGGGACGGATGGTCGAAGTGCAGCCAGGCTGCATAGATCAGCACCTGGATGACTTGAAGCATCGATGCGGCGTGCCTCCGCACAGCAGCGGGGGTCGGCTTGATGGCAGTCATCAGCTCGGCGCTGCTGGACGGGGCCTGATCACACACATACACGCACACATACGCACGAGCATGCACGCAACAGCAATACGCACATCCAACCAGCTAGTATGTATGTATGTATGTATGTGCTTTGCTCTGAGCGACTGGTTACCGACCACTTTGGCTATCCTGAAGAGTTGGTGGTCCTGCAGAATGGCGTGGGGCTGGTCGTCCTCCGCCCTCGCCATCTCGTCACGCCATCGCACCAGCGCAAACTGCACAACACACACACACACGCACCGACACGACACAGATGTCAGTCAGTCGACCAACTGATGAATCGATACATACATACGCATGTGTCCGTCCGCACACCCAAGCCAAGCCAAGCACCCTTCCGACCGCCCGACCGACCGACCAGTGTGAGGTATGACTGCATCGACAAGCCTCCGAAATGCGAGGGGCCCTTGTTGGTGGAGGGCGCCGTGGGCAAGCGAGACAGCATGCGAGCAACATCACGACTAGGGTCAGCCGCCTCGTCAACATACGAACTACCAGTACACACCCACACAACCCACGTGACACGCGCCTCGGTGCGATGTCTGTCTGTCTGTGGGTGCGTGGTGGCCTGGCTGGCTGGCTGGCTGGCTGGCTGACTTGGCAGCGATGTCACAGCTCCTGATGAGTGTCTGTGAGAGGAGGGTCCTCGGTGCGGCCTTGTCCTCCACCGCCCGCTGGATGAGCTCATTTTTGAGGACGGAGAATATGTAGATGAGGTAGTGGGTGTCCCCACGCGCATACTCTACCATTGATGGGGTCAGAGGCCTGTTGGCCAACGCAACCCAACGCAACGCAGACAGATAGACAGACAGACACGTGGGCGGCCACAGTATACGCAATGCAATGCAATGCATCCATTGCAGGCACCCTCCACCAATCAATCTATGTCGCGTGTGTGTGTGCCTGGCTAATTCATTCACCTCCTTCGCCAGTCGGCGAGTTGGTGTGACTTGTCGGCCTTGACGCGACAGTAAAACTGGAGCAGATTCGCCAACGAGTAGCCTCCGGGCAGCTGCAGTACCCTGACCAAGACAAACACACACGCCACACAGCAGTGTGTGTCTTCCTTGTCGATAGATGTGCCTGACTGACTGATACACATACATACGCGCTAGATAGAAACAGGCGGACACGTAGACGCCCCGACCTCAGTCAGTAGTGTAAGTCACCTGGCGGCCTGTCCGGTGTCGAACATGTTGACTACATAGACGCTGAAGTCACGCTGCAGCCACAGGACGTCGTTGTCGGCCCCATGGAACTGCACAAGGGAGGTAGGTACACTCCACACCACACCACAGGACAGGCAGGCATCCATTTATCCATCCATTGAGTGAGACAGACAGGCATTCAGTGAGGCTCTCTCCCTCCCTCCTGGCTTCTCATACGTACACTAAGTACATGCAATGCAATGCAACCATACATACCATACACACACTGACTGGCTGACCACTTTGAGTATTGCAGGGTCTGCAGTGACCTCGTTGAGGGCGTGCACCTCCTCGAACATATCGAATGGGTCGATGATGTAGTCACGATCACTGCGTCAGTGACGCCCACACACACACACACAACCAGACACACGCACAGCTGGCTGACGGGGGGGGGCTGGGTTAACTCTTCGTTCGTGTGCCTGTCTTGTCTCTTCTGTCTGTCAGAGTGTCTGGCTGGTGTTGTTTGGTTGGTGGCTTACGTGGTGGATATCTGTATGAGGCACGTGTAGCCACGGAAGGTCTGACGAGTCTGCAGTCATCCATCCATCCATCCATCCATGAGTGATTGTACAGGTACGCACATTTGCATGCCAGCCATACCACCAACATGGATGGAGTGAGCCGTGCATGTGACTATCTATGGTTGGCTCCCTGCCCTCCCGGCATGCCCTGTGTGCGACGTGGCCATGCTTACTGTGTGCTCCAGGTCGACAGATATGATCTTGGGCACCGCTGACACACGCGCACACACAAAGACACATGTCCCCGGGAGTCACACAGTCCCTGTCGCTCTCCCTTGCTCGTGTCTGTCGGTCAAGTTTCTCCCTCCCACACTGACTGACTGACCGGTTTTGATGTCTTGTATCATGTCCTTGAGTTCATCCTCGTTGGTCACAAACACCAGCGGCGTCGCGTCCAGCGGCTTGGCCACGTGCAAACCATCCTCCCCCTCCCGCAGCAGCTCCTCGTGGACTTTGACATCTGCCGGCCCCTCACCACCCCCGGCGCTCTGTCTGCCCTGCCACCTCATATAGCTCTTCTTGAGCTCCTCGACCTCCACCTCATATGGATGCGGCAAGGCCACACCACCCCCAGGCCGACTGGTGGCCTGGGGGGGACCGACGCCATCCTTCTGTGCGGCACAGTCTTGCGGCGGCCATGTGTTTGCTTCCCTCTGGGCGTCGAGGATGGCAGGCTGCAAGGGTGCAGTCGCGTGGTGCTTGAACAGCAGACGTGGCACGAAGCGAGGCCTGTAGTTGTCTATCAGAGGGCTCCATGCCTGCTGCGGACGGTTGTCCCTCCGGTCAACAGCTTGCTGGGATGCCGGCACACCGCCATCGGAACCAGCCCCCACTCGCATGCCGCCTGATGGAGAGGAGAGAGGCAGGTTCCCCTCTCTCTTATCCTCTGGCATGTTTGGTGGAGCAGGTGCGGGTGGGGTCATGGGGTGGTCTTCCAGGGCGTCGATCCTGTCGAGCACCTCATCAAGGCCGTCGGTCACCATGCTGTACTGGCCATCACCACGGGTAGCGGCACCAGCAGTGGAAGTGGCAGTCGGGGCCGCGAACGACACAAACCGACTGCAGGGGTGGAGAAAGGGAGGCACACACAGAGAGATATATCGTTGGCCTGCAGGCATCCATTAATGCCGCCTGCGCTGCACTCACCGCAGGAACTGTTCGATGGAGGTGGTCGCCTCGTGCAACCCCGACACCAGCCGCATATCACCATCTGCCAAACATTCACTCACTTGTGGTGTGGTCGTCATCCATACACAAACCTGCCTAGCAATGCAGTCACATCACATCTCTCTCTGACCGTCCTGGATGGCATTGACACTCCTGACGGCAGCTGCATCAATCAACCAGTGACATCCATCCATCCATCGATGCAGGCAGGCAGCCAACATGAATGAGTTAAGCATCCAATGGCATCCATCCCTCCTTGCTGGGCTGCCAAGCCCACCTGCGAGTCGTTTGGTCAGCCCGTCAGCGAAGGAGCCCTCCTCACCTCCCTCGTCCAGCACAGAGATGCATCGACTACCGCTCATCGATGTCCGCCCCGCTGCACCAACCTACGCATGAAGACGACGCTCTCTAACTACTGCGCTTATTAAGCCAGATGTGTCAGGAGGAGGAGAAAAAAAACAGGGGGGAGTCGATGACTTTCTTTGCATCTGCGAGCTTACTAGCGATGGCAATCGTCTGATGTTTCGTTTGTTTTCCAAGTCCAGGGATGCACAACAGGAGGCGCAAAGCAACGGCTGGGGTACAAACAGTCACAGCAAGCAGCCCATCCTACAGATCTTGCTCTTGCATCCATCTATCTATCCTGTGTTGCGTTCGTGGCTGGTGGGTGATCTGATCAGGAGGCTGTGCCCGCGATTCGCGAGAAGGCGCGACGTGTGACAGAATTGCTGAAGAAGCTGAGCAAGTGCCGTGCCGAGGGCGCCACGGGAGACGATGCGGCATTGCAACTGACTCAGAGGCTGATAGAGATCAACCCCGACTTTGCCTTCGTGTGGAACTTCCGGCGAGAGATCATCAGGACGCTACTCAAGCAAGGGCCCGAGAGCGATGTCACTGAGGATGAAGGCGGCGGCACCGGCGGCCTGCTGTGCGATGAGCTGTCGCTGCTCGAGGGTGCCCTATCGCAGTCTCCCAAGGCTTACTGCCTGTGGTTCCACCGATGGTGGACACTCCTCATGCAGGTAAGTAACGTACATAAAGGGTCCTCCCTCCCCCCGTATATTTATATGTGCGCTACCCGGGCGGAGCGGGCTACCAACCGACCGACCGACTGCCTTGTTGTGACTGGCCGTCCCCTCCCCTGTTCTCCTGTCTGTCTGTCTGTCTGTCTGTCTGTCTGCATTATATCAGGGTGTCGGAAGGGACCTGGGACGTGAGTTGGATCTGTGCACCAAGCTGCTCACTGTCGACGAGCGCAACTTCCACTGCTGGAACCACCGGCAGCTCATTGTCGCCATGCGAAAACATGCTGGCAACACCACGACACCGGGCCATGACGCAAACGGGCAACAAGAGGACACCGCCACACGTAAGCGTCACGCAAAGTCAAACAACTAACTGATCGGGTGCGTGTGGGGAACGCTGGCTGGGTGGTGTGTCGATTGTATGGCGTCCGTCCGTCCATGAGTCCATCAGGATGGCTGGATGATGATCTTGGCTTCACCTGCGACATGATCGAGAGAAACTTCAGCAACTACTCGGCCTGGCACTTAAGGGCACTGACACGCACACAACTGAGCTGCCGGCCCGGCCAGCACACAACCACAGGGGCCACCACCAGCTGCCAGCAGGAGCTGCAATGGATCAAACAGGTACCGACGTACGTACGCACGGATACATACATACATGCATTTATTGGTTGTGTGTACATTAATTACATGGGACTCGACGTCGAGAGAGAAGCCAAGGCAGGACAGAACAGCTTAGCCAACCAACCAGCCAGCACCCAGTCGACTCTGCTGTGATGTGTTGTTGCGTGTGCAGGGCGTCTACACCGAGCCCAGCGATCAGTCCCTGTGGTTATACCACTGCTGGCTCCTGCACCAGGCGGGACGGCCGCCACTGAGGTGAAGAAATGAATGGCTGTTCGGTTCGATCCTATACATATATTCCCCTCCCCTCCCCTCCCTCCAACCGCTACGGCCCCTTCTGCTTTTCTCTGTGACCGCAGATTGGTGGGTGCGGTCGTGGAGTCGAGGAGCGAGCCAGACAAGGGTGATTGCAGGCAGTCCGTCCTGCTCTTCTTCTCTGCTGCTTGCTCCATCGATGCGACTAGAAGCCGTGTCGACATCCACCAACCGGAAGGAGATGTGCATGCTAGGACCTCCGGTGCATTCTCGCCTCTTGACGCCGATGCAGCCTCTCAGCGGCGGAACTCGCGCATCCCACGACAGCAGCGTCCTTTGCAGCCCTCGTCTGACGCATGGAGGTTCGACCTGGACGACGGCGTCAGCGTCCCCGGCCGAGCAACCGTCATCCTTCACCTCAGATTCACCGCCCATGGTGGCAGCCTCCCATCGTTCTATCAGGCATGCTTTCTTCCAACCTTGGGCATAGGAGGCGACACCACGCCGCCGGCTGCACACGAGCCCGCTCTCGAGGTCACATACCAATGCGACGTCCCTGGCAACCCACACCGCGGGAGTGTCCTCCACCTGAGCGTGAAGGACAGCTGCCGAGCGGCCTACTGTATTGGTGGGGGCGGGTCGAGTGTGCGGGACGAGATGCAGCCCTCCGATGGTGCACTGCTGGAGCAGGAGCTGGCTGCCGTAGACGAGCTGCTGCAAATCGAACCCAACTGCTACTACGCCGTCCTCGCAAAGTGAGTCTGTCAGTGCCAGGGAGGAAGGGAGTGGTACAGGCAGGCAGGCAGGCAGGCAGCTAGGTAGCGCACCAGCGAGTGTACCCACCCACCCTGAGCGCCTGCAGGTGTTGGCTCCTTGAGTCGCTTCGTCCCCGCGACCCCCTCCTGTTGGCCAACTACAAGCGGCTGCAGACCCTCGACCCACTCAGGAGAGGCTTCTACCAAGACTGCTGGTCAAACGCACTCGTCAGGTACCCAAGTACACACACGCGTCGACCAGAGCGACATAATGTCAGCTGTGGCACACGCAGCCAGGCAGGCAGGCCACGGGGGCTGCTGTGCCACCAGCTTACCCGTCCCTATCTGTCTGTCTGTCTGTCTGTCTGTGTGTATGTGTCAGGATGAAGGTGCTCGAGCAGGTAGAGCGGGCGACTGAGGGCCCATTGGAGGCCATCGACCTGAGCAGCCTGGGTCTGACTTGCTTGGGCGAGCAGCAACTGCTGCCAGCGCACGGTATCAAACGAATCGATGTCTCCAACAACAGCATCAGGTAGGGAGGGTGGCGATGCATCCACACACGGCACGGATGTGGCCTGCCTTTGAAGCTAGTCCGTGGGCAAGCTGGCTCCTCGTCTCGCTGTGCAGGACCCTTGTCGGCTTGCGATGGCTGACAAGCCTGGAGGAGGTGGTTGCGGACCCAGGTGTGCAGAAGCTACCCAAACTCAGAGGTAAAACAGGGGAAGCGATGACCCTGGCTGCCACAACGGACAACTGGTGTGCTGTCCCAAATGTTATTTGTCAGGTTCTTCCAGCTGCCGATAGATATTCCATATATATGTCCCTGTGTCTCTCCATGGTGAGGGCACCTCCCGGGATCCGTCGGATCTATGAGGTGTGTCACGACATGAGACCGATGACCGCATGGGTGTATGTATGTATGGATGTATGTGAACGGCAGTAGGTACGTACGTACATGAGTGTAGATGGATGGTTCAAACAGTAATTTGTATGCCGTGCCACGTCTGTATGCATCCAGCCTCCATCCATCATACACCCAGCGAGCGAAAAAGGTCCCATGATGCACACACCCACAGGCAGCATAGATAGCATCGAAACCAACAGTCCTCCGTCCACCCGCACAGAGCAAGTGCCGGGTGCGTTGACAACCTCGGTCACAAGGCAGTGCCCCTTTCCAAGTTCTGCTTGAGCTCGCGTGAGTACTCGCCTGAAACAGAAGAAGAGCCGCTTCTTGCTTCCGTGCGTCATGGAACATGGCAGTCCTGACTGACCGAAGTGTCTTTCGAGTTTCTTGTTGTAGATCTTGTTTCTCTTGTTGATGTACGACACATCCTCGTCCTCCACGTTGGTGCGATGCCGAGAAAACCCTTTCCTGATCACACACACATACACACGAGGGAGGACAGACACCAGTGAGTGCGCCTCCTCAGACCGATGCCCTCTCTTCGCGCCCGTCCGTATACGGGAAGTCCACCGTGGCCGCCCGACCGTCGGTACCAGCCTACCTTTTCTTCTCCTGCTGTTCGAGTGCCTGGACGAGTTTCTGCTTGGACTGCTCGGAGGCCGTGAACTGGTTGCTGACCAGACCCGACGATCCGACGTAAAAACTGTCACCCAGCTCGGTGCGCTGCTTGTCGTAATCCTCACTCTGGAACGCCATGTCACCCACCCTGCCCCAATGCAGCCAACACCCACATACACACACACACACACACTTGGTCTGTCTATCTGTCCGCCCACTGTGTGTGAGTGCGTCCTTTTGACCTTTTTTTGTGAGCCCGGTAGGATGCGTCTTGGTTGAAGACATTCCACCCGAATGTGTCGTTCTTCTTCCTCTTCTTCTCCTCGCGCTGGTCAACAGCCGCCGCAGTCTCCTGTCAAGGAAGGAGCACATAGTACATAGCATACCCACAACAGACGCGACGAATGAATGTATCTCTCCACGTGTGTACGTATGGAAGTGTACACAAAGCGGGGAACCCGAGCCTGGCTGGCTGCATGCACCTCTAGGCAGGTAGGTAGGTAATCGGCCGGGTGTGTGTGGTTGCTTGCTTACCATGAGATACTCCTTGCCCTTGCGTGGCATGTTGATTGGCCCCAATTCATCCCCATCCGCTCCCTCGTGTCGCTGCCCGTCGGCCTCCCGACCCTGCCCCTGGCCCTCCCTGCCGGCATCACCCTTGCCAGAGGAAAACTGACGCTTCTTCTCGTCCAAGACCTGATCGACCCCACACACAAGCATACGGTCAGTAAGTATCGCACACAGCCAGATATGGAAGCCAGGGAGGGAGGGGGGTGAGAGAAATGCACGGCTTACTCACTTCTCGGTTGTTGAGTTTCCTGCTCTGGTTCATCTTCATCTTGAGCTCAAAAAGGCGCCTGCTGCGCTCGTCGTTGAAGGGCTGCTCGCTGGGCTGTGCACCCGGCATGCCGCCCCCGGACATGTCCGCGTCATCCTCATCCTCATGCTCGTCGGCGTCCTCATCGATGGACGGCAGCACAGCCCCACCGCTGCCCTGGTCAGAGGCGGCCATTAACTGCGAGGCGGCTGCCTTGCCTTGAGCCAGGAGCCGCTCAGCCTGCTCCGACGCCCGCAGGTTCATCTCGCGACGGAATTGCATGAGGGGGTCGGTCATGGCCAGCTTGGTGTGAGAGGTAGTGCCGGCACTGCCGAACTCACTATCGCCATCCAACTCGCCGCAATTCACTACCACAACTGCACACACAAGAAGGGACACACAAATGGATAGACACACAGACAGACAGACAGACAGAGACAGAGACAGACAGACAGGTACGTACAGGTGCTGTTGTGTGCAACCACCGGATCGGAGTGAGTACTAATTACCTGGCACTCGAGGCCGGTCGAACTTGTCCGTCGGCACCTTGGCGATGGCACGCACCACCTCCATCCCGCTGGTGACCTGCCCAAATGCCACATGCTTCCCTGCAAGCAACAACACGCACATGACAACCAACGCACCACAACACAATGCAATACAATACCAGGCAGGCAAGTATGAAATATAATTGATGCGTTCGTGCGTTGCCTTGCCTTGCTCCCGCCCTGCCTGTGTTGCGTAGGTAGGTACCGTCCGTCCGTCCGTACCATCAAGGTGCTGGGCCCTTTTGAGAGTGATGAAGAATTCGCTGGCGTTGGTGTTCCTGCCCTTGTTGGCCATGCTGAGTACGCCAGCCTGCGAGTGCCGGCGGGAGAAGTTCTCGTCCCTGAAGAACCCCTCATAGATAGAGTCGGCCTGCTCGGGATCCCCGCTCTTGGTCGGCAGCTGGCTGTCAGGCGTATCGCTCTTGATCCGCAGGTCGCCTGCCTGGATGATGAACCCAGGCAGCACCTTGAAGAACCGACACCCCAAAAAGTGCAGCGGCCGCTTGGTCAGCTCAGACGCACCATACTCCCCCGTACACAGACCTCGGAAGTTCTCCGCAGTGCGGGGCGTCACGTCGGCATACAGCTCAAACACAATACGCTGATCCGATCCAACATTCAAGCAAAACGACATGACATACACACAGCGCACGTGCTCTGCTCTGCTTACCCCTCCGGTGGCTGTGCCGATACTCACATCCATAAAAACCTGCGTGTGTCACAAGAGAGAGGTCAGGTATTCGTTTGTTTGTGCGCGTGTGTGCCACGTGTGGGATCTGTCCCAGCAACCTACACGAGGATTCCTCCCCCTGCGACGCCGCGGCTTCTTCTCCTCAGACATCACCGCGAGAAAAGCAGGAAAACGCCAGAAGCTGGAGAAGGGGAAGGTCACGACAGAGCTTCTCAGCGCGCAGATTCTTCCGTGAAACCGCTCTCTCACTGCGAAGCAACCTAGTTGGAGGAAGGTGAGCCACGGCACTAGACCGTTAGATGCATCCACGCGAAGATGCCTGAACGAATGTGTTTGCCTTTGTGAATGATGCCGCAGGCACGACGCGAGTGTGGTGTTTGCTGTTCCCTCTTCTTGGTCATCCCTCGATGGATGCGGTGTCGACGGACATGCTCAAGGCGCGAGCAGCGCTACGGGAGCGGCTGGGCGATGGTGTGAGGACGGGAGGGAAGGGCAGTGCCCGTCGCAAGAAGCGAGCGGCACACAAGCCAGCGACGACCGACGACAAGCGCCTGCAGAACACGCTCAAGCGCCTGGGAGTCAACAACATCCCTGGCATCGAGGAGGTCAACCTCTTCAAGGACAACTCCACCGTCATTCACTTCGTCAACCCCAAGGTCCAAGCATCCATCTCGGCAAACACCTACGTCGTCAGCGGACATGCAGAAAGCAAAAGTAAGCACGGTGGGTCAATGCATCGACGGATGAATGGCCAAGCACACCCACACCCACACCCAAAACACCCCACGCATACATACATACATACATGCATACATGCATACATCCCTACGCGCGAGAGAGGAGACACAAGAGCTAAAGGCTCGTACATGTGATGCACCTGACTCACCCCATGCCGTGCCCTGTGTGTGGTGTGGTGCGATTGGTTTGGCCGTTCAGAGCTGCAAGACATGCTGCCGGGTATCGTGTCGCAATTGGGTGCGGAGAACTTCAACCAGCTCAAGAAGGCGATGGATGCGGGCGGTGGGATGGGTGGTATGGGCGGCATGGGCGGCATGGGTGGGCTGCAGGGCATGATGGGCGGCATGAACATGGGCGGCCTACAGGCCGCCATGGCCAACATGGGGGGCATGGCCGGCATGGCCGACGCCGCACTCGGCGGCGGACGCGGGACAGGCGAGCCAATGGACGCTGACGAAGACGACGACGATGACGACAGCGAGGAGGACGTTCCCGAGCTGGTGGACAACTTCGAGGGATTTGCAGAGGGCCAATGAATGGGGATGGGACTCAAGGAAGAGGACTCAGTGTGTGCGGCCCTGGGAGGCAAGGGGGGATAGAGTGACCCTCAGGCACATGCATTCGCGAATTGCCGTTTTTCCCACTGCACGATCTGCACGCTGATCTGTTCGTCTTACGGCCCCCTGTGTGTGATTCTGCTCCATGAGACTACTTCGCGATATTTCGGTTTCCGGCTAACGAAACCTCGCCAAAGCTTGCTAAGCCTTCAGAAGGAATGAGATCTGAACTGCATCCGGCGTTACTGAACTGATCATGCTCATGAAGACTGCCAACTTTGTTGCAGCCCGCCGCCCCATACGTGCAAGTCGTGCAAGTCATCGCGGCCACCTCCATCGCGTGAGAGGTGCGGGTGCGTCCCTTCTCGGTCAGCTCGATGACCTGGGGATGCCTTCTGGCCCCTCGTTGGGACGTTCCGCCATGTTGTCATCAATGGCGGAGAATCCCCTGCTTGGCGTTGCTGACATCGTGAGGCTGCCTCGCATGTTCCGCATCATGGCGGTCTACTTTATTGTCTACGCCTTCATTAGTGGTCTTGTGACGGTGACACGGAGGATCCATCAGGGGGTGGAATGGTACCTGTCGTACGTCAAGTGGCTCTGGGACGGCAAGAACATCCCGCCAAACGACAAGAGGCCACAGCTGCTGATGCTCGACATTGCAGGCAATGGACAAGATGCTCACCGCACAATGGCGGCAGCGGCAGGAGAGGGTGCAAGGGACCCTGCTGCAGGCCATGAGGATCAGGGGAGCAAGTCAGCTCAGACTCAGCCGGCCCAACCGGCGGCCATCAGCCCCAAGATGCGAGGTCCGCCTGTCTCATTGGCACAGAGATTGTCGACGGTGAAAAAGCGAGTCCTGACGGGAGTTGGGCTCGGCTTGTTTGGAACAGCGTGGGTGTTTTCGGGCAACGCATTGTTCACGATGATTATCATTCTGCAGTGCATTGTCGCTCAACTTGAGTATTACCGAATGGTCAGTGAGTGGGATGGATGGGAACTGGGGGGGAGCCAAACATGACGCCGATGCGTCGATTGCATCGTGAGAGTGCAAACAAACGTATTGCTTGGAGTGTGTGCATTGTTTGTTTGTGCGTATGTATGCGTTCAGTGCATCTTCAAGGGAATCTATCCTGCCCGCCGGATCAGCATGGTCAGCTCTCTTATTCTTTATACCATGGCCTGCTACGCGCCTCAGTACCACGAGCTGGTTCTTCCTTTGTCTGGCACGGCAATCATGGTGTGGTTCTTACTCATGCGGCCGTCACCAGGCACGATATCTGAGATATCCACCTCATTCATGGGGCTATTCTGGTGCTCCTATCTGCCCTCATTCTGGATCAGGTTAAGATTCCTCGGTAGGCTGCAGGCACCACTGAACTGGAAGGCACACAGCACTGCAGACAATTTCACAATTGCCTGGTGGTGCCTCTCAGGACCAGTCGAGAAGACCAGATTTGTTGCGCTCTTGAACCTTCGGAAGTGGTAAGTGAGGGTCCTGCGACGACGCACACGTACTGCCCACCCGACAACATCTGTCGGCTTGTCGTTTCCCACTCAGGTACCCCCCATGGCTTCCCAAGATCACTCCGCCTCCCGATCTGTGGACCCAAGGTGCGGTTGTCACCTGGTGGACCTTTCTGTCGATAGCTATGGGCGACGTCGCTGCATACTTCCTGGGTACACGAGGAGGGAAGAACATGCGCCTGAAGGAAGGAAGAGTCAAGACGAGACATCTGTATGTCGCTGTGCACAGGCAAGTCCTTCGGGCGACGCAAACTTGCGTCGATTAGTCCTGCTGCAGGGGCTGCGTCACCCAACAAAACGGTGGAAGGAGCCCTTGGTGGCCTGCTTATGTCGGTGCTCATGTCTTTGCTGGGTGCGTGGCTTATGCATTGGCCCATCTGGCCCTTTACAGGTACTTCCCATGAATGCTCGACCGCACGTGCATACATCCTGACGTCATCCACGATAATGGGTTCCGTTGTCAGGAGCCCTCTATGGCACGATGCTTGCGGTCGTCGGTCTTGTCGGCGACTTGACAGCTTCGACGTTCAAACGAGACGCAGGCCTAAAAGACTCAGGACACATTCTGCCAGGTGAAAGGGCAGACAACCGGTTGCTAGCTGGCCACTAAATCACTCTGCTGCTTCATTTTGCTCTATCAGGCCACGGCGGGCTTCTTGATCGTGTTGATTCGTACATGTTGACGGCGACACCATCACTCATTTTCGTGCAATACCTTCTCCCCGCATTGCGAAAAATAGTCGCGTAGCAGTGTGTTGTAGGTGTTGCCTCTTTGTCGTGTCAATATGATGGTGCTTTCGTTCGGATTCATCGACGGACGGCGGGCTGTAGATCTGCAGAACGCAACAATACACACGAATACATCACGCCCACACGACAATCAGCAATGCCTTCACTCAGCCTGCGTACGTATGTGTTGATGGCGTGCTGCTTGGCCTTGGCCATCACGCTCCATATATATATGGATCACGCTGTCCAGTGCAGATGCAGCAGCGGCAGCGGATGCAGAGGCCCCATGGCCACCAGCCGCCGTTCAGTTCATCTCGAGCGGCTCCTCAAACGGCTCTGCAACGACCTGCACACGCACAAACATCCACACACAAACATCCACCAACATCTTTTTTCCACTGGACCACAGAGCTCAGCCCACCTTGTTATCCATGAGTGAGCAATATGCCGGTGGCCTAACAGAGCTGGGTGCGGTGAGACCGACGCAACGAATCTCAGAGGGCTCTATCGTTTTCCTTGCTTGCCTTCTTGCCCCCTGGCCTCCTAATAAGCAATTTTCGGATGAATTTACACAGTGATTGGATTATTATTTACTGTTATTTCGAGAAAGCAGTCAGAAGGATGGCGGAAGTAGGCCAAGAAAGGCATGCTTGCACCTGCCGACGGGTATGTCCGGTCTTTACTGCATTTCAGGAAGTCTCGAGCCTTATTCTCCAACCAGAGTTGGATTCGTTGACTACTGGTCAGCAGTGGACTGATGGATCCCATGCACGTGCCGATATCATCAGTTTTGTGGCATCTGTCCCTGGTTTGCCTGCAGATGCGAAGGCCTCTGCGGACTTTTCCAAAGAGACGGCGGAGCTGATCCCAAAGTCAGAAGCCCTTGCGAAGGTTCGACGGATGTCACAAGCTCTTGAAGTCAGACTAGGTTGTTTCAGGCTGGTCGGCTGAACGAAGCGCTTGACGAGCTGATGTTGCTGGAAAAGAAGACAAGGCAGGTGTGTGTAGAACAATACCCTCGCGATGAAGTGAACGCTGAGGATCTCTTCGCCTCTCTACCGAGTATGGGCAGGCATCTGACGGCGTGTCTTCAACGAAGTTGGTCCAGCTGATGCTACGCTTGCAGCGGGAAGCGGGAGAGTGGGAAAAACTCAATGGGAGTATAACGCTCATGTCGAAGAAAAGGGGTCAACTGAAAAGGTTGGCAACCGGGGAAAATGTGTCTGTTTCAGCGGATTGCGTTTCATCGCGTGTGCGTCATCAGAGTGATCGTCGACATGGTGCAACTGGCAATGAAATGGATTGAAGAGACCCCATCGCACAAAGAAAAGCTCAAGCTCATCACAACCCTCTCCTCTGTGACGGAAGGCAAGGTAAAAGACAGTGCTCCGGTGTCGGAGAATGAACCGTATCTCTTGCTTGAATGCAGATTTTTGTCGAAGTCGAGAGGTCACGGGTTGTCAAAAAGCTGGCGGAGATCAAGGAGGCGGAGGGGGACATTGAGTCGGCAAGCCAGCTCCTTCAGGATGTTCAGGTCGGGCCGATTCACGACACTCTGCTCTTCAGATTTGACTGGCTGCTTTTCCACAGGTGGAAACCTTCGGTAAGGTAGTTTCAGCAAGTCAACGGTTTTTCACGTTTCTGCCTTCTCCACGGCGTACTCGACAGGAGCGATGGACAGACGCGAGAAGGCCGAATACATCCTGGAGCAAATGAGACTGGTGGGCCCAAACGCGTTAGAGGAAAAATGAAATTCGCCATGTCTATTCCTCAACAGGTTCTGGCGCGTCGGGAGTATGTTCGATGCCAAATCATTGCGAAGAAGATCAATCCAAAGGTATGAAAGGAAACTGCTCAGCTTCGCTTGTGGGTCTGTCTGCCTCTGTCGAGCATGCATGTCACTTCGGTTAAGCTTCTCGAGGCTGAGGACTTCCAAGACATCAAGAGGAAGTTCTACGAACTTCTGATCCAAATGCACATCGAGGAGACGCAGAGCTATCAGCAGAGTGCAGGCAAGGGCAGGGAAGTGAAGCTGAAGCACGAGCAAGCGACGGACGATGGTTCTCAGCTTGATTCAGCAAGATATCTCGAGATCAGCAAGTACACACTCAAAGAATTACATTGCATTACGATAGGAGGACTGTTGGTAGGTGTTCGTCCTCTGCCGTAGGTCCTTCTATGCAATATTTGAGACACCCTCTGTCAAGTCGGGCGATTGGAAAAACGTACGCACATCGGGCAAACCTTGCTCATCGTACATATTGCTTTGTTCTATCATACATTTTAGGTTCTTGAGTGTTACATCATCTACCTACTGCTTGCGTCCTTCACTAACGAGCAGAAAGACTTGCTGAACAAGGTGTCAACCCTTGAGCAAAAGCGGCTTGAACAGCTTGACCACTTCAAGTAGGCACAAAATATGGATCGTACAAGGAGGGACACGTGCCGAGTTAAACGTTCTTGACACGCAGGCAGCTTGTGTCGGACTTCCTGAAAAGCGAACTCATCTCGTGGCCGCTGAAATACGAAGCTGATCTTCGGAATCACGCCGTTTTCACTGACTCACCCCATGCAGGGTGAGGATGCCTGTCGACCATGCCTGCTCAACAAAGCCTGCACCTCATTGCTGTCGTTCTCGCACGCAGTGGCGACTTAAGGTGGAACCTGTTCAAGAAGCGCGTTGGCCAGCACGTACGTGAAATAAGTAGAATGAATCCTACATTTGATTTGATGGGTAATGCTGCCCTAGGATCTCATGGTGATCTCGAAATACTATACACGAATAACGCTTGACCGCCTCGCGTCGCTTCTGACGCTATCGAGAACGGTAAGGGGAGAGGGCTTATTTAGTGGAAGGAAGAAAGAAATGGCATGCTGTCTCTGCACTGCGCATGCTAGGAGACGGAAGCTGAGATCGCAGAACTCGTCACCTCAAGGTTTTTGCAAGCAAAGATAGACCGGTAGGGCAAATTAATGTCTGAGAAAAGCAGTATGGTGGTGTTTTGTTTTGCAGGCCATCAGGGATTGTGGTTTTCGGAGGACGCGATGAGTCGACGGACCGGCTGAACATTTGGTCGAGTGACATCAAACGGTATGCGGAGGTGATAGGGCATCTCCAGTGCGTGTGGGAACCTTCGGCCTTTGTGCATGCAGCATTCTTGACCTGACAGAAGAGTCCAGCAAGCTCGTTGAGAAAGAACGGATGATTCATAGCGCCAAGCTGAAGAAGACGAAATAGATCCACGCGGAACGCATGTTCTGTTTTACTGGGCCGTGTGACGATGATTTCGATGATGTCTCTGGCTTTTATGATGGACTCTGTCAATCAATCCGACAGCTGTTGCACGAAAGCTTCGATCAACGGGTCACGTGTGTGGTCTGTCTTATCTAGGAAAAATTAGGGGGTGTGAGAAGTTCAACTAGCCTTCCTTTCGCATTCAACGCGTGATTCTGGCGATTCCGCATCGCCCGGAAATGACGGCATCTAGATGGGCATATATATTTATAGATAAAGGCCTACTAAACACGGTGCCAAGGAAGATTTTGCCATGGTCACGAGTGTCCCCATGTTTTTCTGCCCTTAAAAAACAATAGACATAAACTCACCCTAGAATGGCGAATCGCCTCTTACATTATAGGTGACATTAATGTTGTTCGATTGGAAGAGACAGATATTCTTCGAACGGAGACAAAGAGAAAAACAAGAAAGAACGCGAGAAAGCAGAAAACGAGAAGAGGCGAGAACGAATGAACAAGGAGACAAGCCAAACGGGAATACAGCGGCCGATTGGCTCACCTGCCGCCCTTTTGTACAGGGGTTCCGGAACAGGAGGACATCAGTCTGTCCGGCGGCCTTTAATCTTCGTTACCTTGTAGCCGACATGTCGACGACGAAACGGAAAAGTAAAGGAAGCGACAAACGCAACGGTACCACATCGAATGAATTCTGTTGCGTCATGACGATTGAAGATGGGGAACCAACCAATTGCATGGTCATTTTAAGTGAACAAGCAGGCAAGCAGGCAGGCAGGCAGGAGGGAAGTCCACGACAAAGACACGCTGGGTCCCTTGGCATATCTCAGCAACCAACCAACCAACCAACACGGCCACACAAGAGGCAATCAACCGGTCCGCGTGATACCAAACTACACAGCATCATGAGGTTGTGTTCCCTCATTTGCCAAAACGACATTGACTGATAAAGAAAAACACCATACCATCACACACTGGACGACATACAATACATCCGTTCACTAATTCCACGTAAACGGCCGCGCCCGGCTAGCACTCAGTCCGAACGCCTGTGATACAGAGCATCGGGATTTTGACTATTCCACAGAGAATTGTCCGCTGTGGCCTACTCGGATGGGTCGGGGCTTTCCTCAGCTCCTTCTTGTGCAGAAGACGCATTGCTGAACTCGTTGTACCAGGGAGCCTAAAGACGACACAAACATTGTTGGCTAAGGTGCCTGTTGTTGGCCAGTTGGTACGCCTACATCAAGGGATGCAAGGGTTGAGCCACCGTCCTCATCCCCTGCTGCCGAGTCCTCGACATCCAGAGCGAAGAGCGAGTCGAGCGTCGGGGCACTGACGTGGAATTCGTCAGAAGCTTCCTTTTTTGGCGCTTTGACGAAATAGGCACTCGGTGAGAAGGGGGAGGATGATGTTGTCAACCGTCTATGATAGTTCGAGTAGCCTGTCACGCCTCTGTAACGTGCGGGCGCATCGTTGGCTGACGAGCCACCGAGATGACTGTCGTCACCACGCACGTTCCAGGCGTCGCTCTCGAGCCCGTTTCGTGGCGAATCATGGCCTGATGGACCGCCAAACAAGTGTGAAAATGCAATTGCATAAGAACTTGCAGTACTGGTACCGTCAGACGGAACGATGGGAATGGGTGTGTGTCTGCAAAAATGAAACTCCCTTCACGCATGTTGTTCAGCAAGTTTTCGCCAGCGTGATCCTACGTGGCTGGGCTCAGTAGGTCTGGGTTGAGATGCAGAGGAGCAATACATTCATCAACACCTCGAAGCCTCCAGTGCATTGCTAGCCACTCCGAAAAAGCAATGACGTTACTGGGATAAAACCCTGCAACACGGATCGAAAGAGGCAGAAGACAAAACCTAAACTCACTCCAGATACGGCATTGAGTGAGATGTACTTATGTCGTGGTCTGCCCTGGATTTCGAGAGGACAATACAGCTGAACTCGCCGTCTTCCGGGTCCCCTGACGAAGCTGTTCGAGGTGTCGTTGCTGGCGAATCAGGCTGTGCGATTTCTCTTGATGACGAACTTCTTCTTGCGTTCGGATCATTGGCGTTGCGCTTGTGGATTTCGCGCAGCGAGATGCCCTGTGTGTACACGTAAAAACGGTGAGCTCAATGTATGATCAGGGTTGGGACTGCCAAGTCACCATCTTAGCTGGGCACTTGGAATCCTTCCGACACACGATGACGAAAAGAGGTATTTGGGCCGACCCGACCTGAGAGCAAGAGCGACGAGGAACGTTACCTCGAATATGGTGGTGTGCTGGATCGGCCTGACTACAGGAACCAATGAAATCTTCTGCACCTTTTGCATTCTGTCAAGATTGTTGAACACATGGTTGCTCTGCTTGATGAGGTTTCTGTTCAGCTTGCACAGTTCTCCGTGAATATGCAGTGGCGCCAGCTGACGAAAGTAAACGTAAGTAACACGAGGATGCGGCCAATGGAAGACGCGAGCTCTCTTACCTGTTCGATGTTCGTGAAGGGGCACAGTAGCAGCAGCGCTCGGACGGATGTGAAGAGAGTGCCAAGGTAAACCGCAGGGCCTGTGCAAGGCAGGCAGATGCACGGAGCACCGACCGTTTCGTCATGCACGTCGTGTCCGTTTTCCATCGTACCGCTCCCGAGCGAACGACCAACGATGATGATACGCTCCTCGGGGCACCCCGCTTGTTTGAGGTAGGCCATCGAGTCCACTGCTATCTCTTCCACGGCTTGCACGGACAGACGAATGCCACGTCCGCGATAATTGCCGTAGCCTGGGTACTCGGGGCAAAGCACATTGGCGTCAAGGAAGTACGACAATGTCTTGCAGCACTCGAGCATGTTGGAGAGATTCTCCCCGTTCGCGTGGAAAAGCAGGCACGTGTACTTGGCACACGGCCGCGGGACCCAAAGAGCAGGAAACACTGACGGCTCACCTTCCTTGATACCTCCTTTGATGACCTACACGCGATACCAGAAGGGAAACACAACGACACACCACCATCCGCACCGTGTAGTATTATCCTTACCCCGTTGTTGTAGGTATAAGTAAAGGTGTACGTCGTCCGTGGAATGTTGATGAGACGCCCGTGCGGGAGGAACATCTCCTCGCGGTAACTGCAGCCACACGCAAGCAAGACAGCGGCAGTGAATCAGGCTGAGTACACTGGTAGAGTGTTGTGGCAGCCCGAGTACGTCTGAACAAACGCGCTTTCCCATGGCGGCAGTGGAAATCTGTGACGGAAGAAGAAGAGCAACGGGTGAGTGTTTTGAACACGGCACTGTCTCCTCACAGAAGGCGTTGAGCCAATGACATCTCGCCAGCAAAATGGCGGCCGTTCGACGCACCCTTTCCGCTCGCAAGGTCAGAGCAAAGCATTGAGTGTGCCCGTTGGCTGACAGTGCCGCCTTGGAAGCATCCTTTCAGCGCCTGACGAGTACAGTGCACCGAAGTGTAGTCCGATGCCGTTGGAAAGCTTCATCTCTCACACCTGCTGTGCCTTCCTGTGCAGATGAGTCGCTCCGCGGAGGGGGGGATTGAGGAGCGGTCGTTGCGATTCTGCGCGCTCAGATCTCTTTGTCTGCGTGCTTTTCTTTTTGGAGCAGTCCTGGAATGGCAGTGGCGCTGCTTTTCGCTGCCGTTCTCGGCTCTCACCAGGCAAATGGATTTGTTCTTAAGTCAACTTCATCTCTCCTTCCGCCATCTTTCCCCACGACTCATCCGCTCCGATGGAACTCGGCGAGATCTGGTACCGTTGCGCTATCCAGCACGGCGGTGGCAGAGAAGGTATGTATGCACGGGCGTTACTTGAGGAGAGGGTCACGTGTGATCATGATTTTTCCCTCGTCAGGTGACTGAGTACCCCTGGCAAAAGCTTGCAGGCGCCTACACTGGTGATCGATGATCTGACGATGCCCTCTCTGCATTGTTGACGGTTGCGTGATGTTGCTTGGTTTTCAGCGGAGGATCTTGCGGGCGACTGGCGGCTTCCGTATGGGAAGATAGATCAGGTCAAGTGGGAGATGATGAAGCTGATGGGGAGGATGGGTGACCCTTCTTTCCCCTACTACTCCGCTCCCCTGTCCCCAAAGCTGTTCCTCGACCGCCTTTTCGGCGGCAAGGAGGTGCTGGACGAAGATGAGTTCAAAATCAAGGTGGAGCGCAAGTGGAGGTTTCTGATGCCGGTGGAGGGCGACGTGTTCCGTGACGAGCCCGAGATGTGCTGGCAGATGTGGATGGCCGTCAGGGGGGTGGTGGAGGCGCCTGAGGACACCGAGTGGAGCAAGAAAGGCGAGAGGCCCTTCTATGAGCCCAACGAACTCCCTATCTCTACCGTGATGCGACGGGTCAACAAGGAGATAAATCAGCAGGGGATGCACCCTGGTGCCCTTGAGGCTTTATGGCAGTGGTTCTCTGAGGGTCGGGCGGCCATCAACAAGGAGGACGTCCTGAACAAGTTGTTGGTCATCATCCCCGAGGAGAACCTGGAAGACGGCACGGGCCTCACGAGCGATAACTTCTATGTGGCCCTTGTCGACGTCATCAAGCAGGGCATCGAGGCCTTTGACGAGGAAGCATACAAACAGTATCATGAGGAAGTCACCAAGGAAAGACAGGTGCGTGCGGCGCGAAGCTCACACGGGCAGCTACGCCTTGATCAGCCTCTGATCAAGACCAACTTACCAACCTGCTGGATGGGCATGTGTTCCTCGTGTGCCTATATGTGTATCGTGCAGACTATGCAGCAGCTCATTAGCAAGAACGCCGAGTGGAACAGGTACGAGCCGTGCACTGCTGCAGTCCCTGGTTCCTTATGTCACGTCAGTATCGCTCTGCGTTCGCTTCTTTCATGTTGCAGGAGGAGGAAGGCGGCTGCAAAGCGATCTGCACAGGACTTCCAGACCTACGTCCAGTTCCTGGAAAAGGTGATGACATGAATGCGTGAAATCAGCACGTGATACTGTCTTGTTCGTATTCCTCATGTCTCTCTGCGAGCAGGAAGCGTGGCTGAAAGCTGAAAAGGCGGCGAATGAACAGTATGGTCTGCCTTCAAAGGCGGTCAGTTCAACGAGCTGAGGCGCTTGGGGTGTTGGTGTCTGCCTGCTGATTCCAGTTGAGCCGGGTGTATGTGTGTGACCTCAAGACACATTTGTGCGTTTCAACGCTAGCCGGCATCCATGTTATAGCAAGACGGAAGACACATCTGAACAGCACTCACCAGTGTCTCAGCCATTGAGCGATGAAACACATACACCGAGGACGGAGTGCTTTGGGTAAGGCGATAATCTATCATCAAGGTTTTGGGAGAGACAGCATCGTACACAAGAAAAACATACTGGGTTCTACACCCCTGCGTTGACGAATATCACAATCATGACACATCGCATCGCGTCGCATCGCACTCCATACACGCAACTTGACCTCACACCACCACCAGAGACGTCTGACTCTTACTGCGCGCCGCTAAGAATGCCCGAAGATTCGACTCGAAAGAGTGGTAGAAGGCGGCCTCAAAGTCGTGCGTCCAGACTCGCTTCGTCAGCTTCTCGGAACCGTCAGCGTCGCGAATAGACCACAGACCGCCGGCGTCCTGCGCCGAGTCGGCCATCCTTGTGATTCGCCTCCGCTCCGTGCCGCGGATGTTGGCTGTGCCCGTCTTGATCCTCCTCGCCGTGCCACCAGCGTCCCTGAGAAAGCCCTCGATGTTGTCCTTGGAGCGCCACATGCCTCCCCTCGCCTCATGGCCGTTGTCGTCATCCGTATCTGAGCTGTCGCTTTGGGTGGTCCCTTTGACAGCATCACCCTCATTGTCGCCCTCGTCGTCGGACAGACCAGTACAGAAGAAGCGGCTCTGCAGAGGGCCCAGCGAGGCGGCAGGTGTGGACGGCCCCCGAGTCGACACAGTATCGTCATCGTTATCAGCCGCACCGGGGCGCTTCTTGGCAGCTTTCCCGCCCGCCCGCCTCGAGTTGGACAAGGCTGATACGGGCGACAGCGACTGATCGACGCTCGAGTGCCCTGAATCTGTCGACCAACACACACGCAACACACGTATGTATGCATGGGTCGGGCGGGCGACTCTGGCACTAGGAGGGTACCCGATAGCTCCCCCGAAAAGGGCTCTAGTCGAGGTGAGCCGTTGTTGTGATCTAGGTGGCCCCTTCCTTGCCCCCTGCCCCTCCCTCTGGCTGCTCCGTCGCTGAGGCCCCCAAAGCGAGCGGTCTTGGGGTCGTGTCCGCCCGAGTCGCTCCCTCCCGAGTCGCCTCTGATGGCCATGTTGGCATTCCACTCGTCCTCATCGTGAGACAGCAGGTGCTGGCGGGAGCGGACGACCTGCAGATCCAGCTGTACACCCAACTTGGAGGACACCATCTCGTTGCGCTGCTGGCTCGTCGCGTACGCCTGCATCCATGAATGCCCGAACGGACCGACCGACCGACACAACAACACAACACAACACAAAAACAACGCCATGGGTGTGAAACAGCCCGCCCACCAGGAAGCAGGCAGCAAAGGAGGGCTCCGTCTCATGATGCACGCTCGTGTCGTGAGGGTGAGTGAATCATCAGCCGTCTGTGCACTTACCGAGTACAGAGACTGTTTGACTATTCTCTCTAGATCTGATGGCGTGTCGAGTGTCTCGGGCTTCCGACAGAGCACTTCAGCAATCTGATGGAGGGTCAAGCGATATTCCAAGGCCCCGATCTTCAGCAGACGAGTTGTCACACGCATCGACGACAGGCACTCCTTCCTGAGACCATCACACACGCAGTATTTGTATGGCGCTCGTCCGAGACAGAGCAAGGACAGAACAGCACCAAAGGTGCGGAGTGAGTGCAGCTGGGCAGCCAATAAGGGAAGAGAAAGCCACGACACTCACCTTATGTACAGCTTCTTCCGGAGTCGCGCTGCATCCTTATCGGGGTTCAGGGACTTGATATAACGCAGTGCGGGCATGCCGAATGGCAACTGATGGCAGCCAGGCAGACAGGCAGGCAGACAGGCATCGAACTAGTGAGTGGATGGCCTGGTGGTGACCTAAGCTGGCTGCCGTTTGTGGTGTGTGTGTGTGTGTGTTTCCTTACCTTTGCCTGTGGCCAGTCGAACCACACGAGATCAATGGTTGCAATCTCGAGCTGATCCGGCAGGATGAGGCCATGATCAATGGGAACCAACCGCCACCTGACGTATTTCAAAGCCACAAGACGATCGTGCCGCCCTCCTTACGACCACGATACATCGATCCATCCATCCAATATACTCATGCACCTTACCTTGATGGCTGGATGAGTGAGGAGATCGACTTGGGTCCATCCCGCTGCTTGTCGTTGTCGAAGTATGCCTCGTTCGGCACAAGGAGAAGATTTCCGTCCTGCAGACAACGCAAACCAGACGGTGTATGCGTCGACGATTGCTTTGTTTGCGTTGCGTTGACTGGTAAAGTTGGATGGGTACACGTGTGGCACACGTACGTTTCTGTCCATGTTTGCAACCCTGATGTCGAAAATGCCAATGCGGTGCACATCATCTCGGCTGAACTGACGGGGGTTCACGTTGCCCACCACGTCCTGCATGAACGTGAACCAACGATGAATGAAAAGCACCAAGAGAGGCAGGGCAGGGCAGGGCAGGCCCTGCCACCACCCGTCTGTCCTTGTGATAAATATATTTGTTTACCTCGGCCTGCACAAACTCCTGGAAAGATCCCTGCTTCCAGATGAGCTTCCCGTCAGGGTTGCTGAAGGACGGATGGCAACACTCGACCTGAATTCAATGGGAACGACCAAGAAACCAACACATAGACAGCAGGCCGGGAGGCTGAGACGCCGTGTGTAGGTGTTGATTGATTGCCAGAGTCGTCTCGGGAACGTCTGGCGTGTGAGGGCGATTGCAAGACGGCACAAAGACAGATAAGAGTGTCGATGCAGCGAGCTCAGGACGTACGCTACAGGATGCAAGCGTGCCCCACTTGTCACGTACGTCACTTACTTGCAAACGAGGATGGATTGGTGGATTGATCGAGGATGAAGGCAGCCGCCTCTCGGCTAGCCGACTCGCCAGACAGTACCTGCACGATAGGATGGACGGACACGCATACGCGCATATTCACACATACATGTATGCGTACGTACGTACGTACTGCGCCGACTCGTCCGTGTCTTTCTGTCTGTGTGTGTGTGTGTCTGTCTCAGCTAGGTAGGGTGTATTCATTGCGTATTACAGTACCCCCGCTCTGAATCCCTGTTGTCCGAGTTTGCCCTCATATCCCCGTGGGTTGTTGGGTGCGAAGGCCTCTTCGTCAAAAGGCTTGAATACCGATACCTGACCAACACCGCCGCCACACAACAGCACCCCATGAGTTTCCTCCGCGGCCCTGTGGCTGCCTGCCTGCCTGCCTGCTTCTCTAGAATGAGTGACAAACAGGTCACACGTCTGTCTGCCATGGGACGTACCACGCGGCCGTCGGAGTTCTTGAGGAAGTAAGTGCCACCTGCGCAAGCCCGAATGCCCGACGCCAGAAAAGCAGCATGACC